TTGAGCATGTTTATGACCATCCCTTCCGGCTCCCTAAAGAACTCCAGCCCTGCAGACCTCAAGCCAGCAGCACATCACTGCTGAGCACCCACCAGGAGGACACATCCACCCAATGCCAGCCCCAGCAGCTGGAAGCAGCCCCTGGGTGTCTCATCTCCCCCTCTCCCCTGCCTGCCAGCAGCACCAAGGAGGGGAACCCCAGACAGAGTCATTTCTGTGTCTAGCAGGAAACACATGCAAATGCAACAGCTGGAGAGCATCACTCAGGAAACCCCCGCCCAGCAGCCTCATAGGGACCTCAACCAGCCCTCAGCCCCCCAGTTGTGCCAGGGGTGCTGGCAAGGCTCAGCTCTAAGGGCACATAGAGCCTGGCACTGCGGGAAGGGTGTGCAGCAACATGCAGCAGCTGGAAAACCCTGGAAATGGAAAATCCCAGGGAGAGGAGAGAAAAACCCCTAGCAAACGCACACCTGGATAACACGCTGTCCCACATCACGTAAGGGCAAAGAACAAACCTGTCTTCTGCCCTGGTTTTGGCCTCTAGCCTTCCAGTGAGGGAGCCAATTTGTTCTGTGCCAGGCTGACAGTGCAAGGTCCACATGGGATTTTGGCAGTGCTACAGACAGGCACAGGTTTGTACAGTTGCGCTTCCAAAATGGAAATAGTGCTCAAAACCAAGAGTCCTTTACTCACCCCAGCAGCAGAGCAACTCAGCTGCTTCCTCTCCAGTACCTGAGTTCATCCCTTTGAGATTGCCCTTGTGTGCATAGCCACAACGTGAGCAAGAGCTGGTGAGCAGACCCTGGACCAGGTCCCCAACAGGGGCAGTTGGCTAAGCTTAAGTCCTCACAGCAATGGGTGCTATACCAACAAGCCTTGCTTCTCTCCAGCCTCTGACATCTCACCCTTCGGTACTGCTTTCCTTCCTTTGATATCTGGGTCCCACTTAACCTTTTATGCCCTTGATGGGTGCTAACAGGAGGCACCTGCAGCTGCTTTGGTCATGCTTCTTGGCTGGGTTGATGGCCCTGAATCAGCTGTGGTCACTGACTTTGTGTTGTAGTAGATAGCATGTAGCAGGGAGGCCATCAGTTGTGGCCACTGAATCTGCACCATAGTAAGTAGCATGGAGCAGGAAGGCCACATGCAGCACAGCACAAACCTCAGGCTAATTTGTTCTTTCAGCGTGAGTGTGTTTGAGCCTGGGGTTTAGCCATTCTCCCAACAACCTTGGACTGGAACAGATTTGGGGAAGCTGAAGCCCTGGGTGGAGTCTTACTGGGTACACTGTGTGTAGGTGTATGTCATGAACACGGTTGCTGGGCAAGGGAAAGGATAAGGAACAGGTTTAGATGAGGTTTGAGGCATAGTGACTTCTAAGGCTTCTGAACAGTCACACACCATGATCTTTTCCTTCCCCATCACACTGCAACTCATCTGCTGGGGAAGTGGGGTCTCAGGGCTGCACTGAAACACCATTTCCAATTGACTCTCAGTGCCCTTTCTGCTGCCCTAGAGCCAGACAGAGAAAAAACCCAGGTGGTAACCAGGAAGACTAGATTTGCTTACGTATGATCTGGATGTGATGTTCTTTTTCCAATGCCATGGCTTAACACATCCTTGTGGCCCTGCTAGTCTGATACCGGGGGTGACTAATGCAGGATAGTCCCTAATCTTGCCAATACCCAAAGCCTTTCGAACTGCTGATTACAAAAGAAAGGCAAAAGCTTTGAGACAAGGGGATTACCTGAGATGTGTCTAATCTGGAGCTGTGTCTGTTTGTCATGTGATAACTGCTATCCTGCATCCCCCCGGGGATTGCATGTTGCGGGGGTTATTATGCATGGCTCGTGCCGAGTGCCCATGTGAGTTGGCCATGTACACCCCTCAGCCCGGGGGACCAGTCTATGGGTGCTGTAAGGAGCCCCGTGTGTTGCTCTAGGGTCCACACTGCCATTTTCTCCATGCGCTTTGTAACTTTTGGGGTGTCAGTGGTCCATGCTCTGGCATTTTGGAAACCCAAAGGGTTTGTCCACATCTCCCCATCCCTGCTCTGCAGCACACAATGGCTGTTGTTTGCCTTTGGGGCGGGTGAGTAGCCTCTAGCTTGGGAGGAACAAAGCCTGGGGCCAGTTCCTGCAAACACAAACCATGCCTTTTTATCACTTCGTGACAAATTGTTTTGTCAGCAGCAGGAAGTGATGTTACCACTGTCCTCCCCAAGGGGAAACTCCTCGTGGTTTCCATGGGGATGTATGCAACTGTAGAACTATGGTTTATATAAGCTGAAAGCCCTACACATGCCTTCTGTGTGCTGGGTTTCTAGGGATCTTGGATCAGATACGAGGGGCAGGGACTAAGCCAAAACCTCTAGCATGGAGGGGCAGCCAGCTCATGTAGGAGCTGGGGGTAACAGGAGTTCAGAGCTGTAAACCAGGGTGAACCATGTGTCTTGGTATCCCAAGCAAACAAAACTGCAAAGCAGGAGGAATAAATGATGGGTAAGGAGGGACAGTGCCTCCCTAACACATCCACAGCGGGCAAAGTTCAGATTGGCTGTGTCATCGAAGTGTCCTTCACCTCCACAACACACAGGCTCTGCCCATCTCAGCCCCTTGTGCCTCCTTGCTCAGCTCATACCTCCTTCTCTGCCCATCACCTTGCTGCCTGCCCTGTTTCTTTCCCCTGGCTCCCAGCAAACCCATGAACTGAGCCCATCCATCCCCCTACACCTGTGGCACTAAGGTGATGTTCGCAGGTCTCAACCTAAGCTCTCTTTACTTTTCACCGTTGTTCCTGCCCCCCTTATCCTCCCCTTGTTTGGACAAGGAGCAGTTCAGGATCTGGGTGCAATCCTGTCCACAGAGACTTTGCAGGAGGCTGTGGGCTCTGGGCACCGTGAGACTGATTACAGGCAACAGAAGGATCAGGATAGACTTGGAAAAGGGCATCACACATCCACAGAGCTGGCAGCATGTTGGTGCCTCGCTGGGACCAAAGCCCTGCTGTTGCTGGCTGGCTTTTCCACTATGGGCTTTGTGCTGAAGCAGCGCTCTCGTGTGCCCCTCTGTCAGGTGCCTGCTTAGGTTATGAAAGCTGATCAGCTGCCAGGTAATGAGTTTTATTGTTCCAAGAAACACATAAACAAGCTCCCCTGGCTGACAGGGAGCGGATTTCTGTTTGAATTGTGATTAACAGGCAGGATTTTTTTCACCAGTTGCGTGGCCAGGGCTGCCAAGGTTGTATTTTTCCACTGAACAAGCTCTGATTTCCTTTGCAGGTGAAAGTTTGCTCCATTGTTACTGCAGGTGTAAAAGGGCTCACGTATTCACAAACAGCCTTGTATGCTTTACAGGTCTCCCTGTAGTAGGTGCAGTCCTCCTGAGCAGCACAACCTGCCCAGGCACTTCCCATGAAGAAAGGGGTTTTGCAGGATCTGCAGCATGGGACAGACTTTGGGGAGAATGTTCACTTTGATGCTTTAGGAAAATGAGGGTTTCTAACTTTGTCTCTCAGTGCCCAGGGATCTCTCCCTTTTAGCTGCTCCGTTTCTTTATCCCTTGGTGTCAGGTTGAAGCTTGGCGATGGCTGACGCGCAGTGCTGACGACAGAGCTGCATCGGAGGGGCAGCTCACGTGGAAGTTTCAGATGCAGCAGCACATCATCCCATCCTTCAAGGGCACCTTCTCCCAGGAGAAGAGTCCTGGATTTCAGCACCATTAATACTCCAGGTAACTTGAAGGATTTCAGCAGGAGCCTGTGGTGCTTTGCTTGTCTCCAGTTACTTGACAAGAGCACAGCTGCTTTACGCTTAAAATACCCCCTAATCATTAAGCTTAGGATCATAACTGTTAACATGCCACAGTTTTACAGTGTCATAACCTGCTGTATCTGCCCAAGCAAAACCATTTTTGATGGGGCAAAAGTAAGATGTGACTCCTGGAGTATCAGAAAGGCAAGGATTGGTGGCTCCCTTCTGGAATGGAGGTAGGACACCTGATGTCCTAGTGCTCCCCCACAACCATCCCCCTCTTACCTGCATTACTTACTACCCTACCTAGTAAAGCAAGCTTCCAGCTGTGTCTCTTCTCCATCAGCTTTTCCTGGTAAGGGTATGTCACAGCAATGCTGCTTCCCACATACACATCTCATCCCACACACCCCATAGGGATGCGCAGTTCTGTCACACCACACAGCAGTAACCCTGTACTGCATCCTGCCTGTCACCCTCACCCAGCAGCTCCTGCCCATGAGCTGCCAGGAGGGCTGGGCTGTTAGAGCTCCCCTGCCTGGCTCTTATGCTCTTTCCATTGCCTCAACTAAATGCCAGATAGAAGCCACTCTAGTGAGAATCTATGCGAGAAGGGTATTTATTTGGGTCTGGGTAAGAAAGTAAGTGTCTTGGTGGTGACCTGATCTCTTGTTACACCCCGATTTATTTACAGGCATAGCCCAGCAAGTCAAATACTTCATTCCAGGCATGAGAGACAGTCTGAGTTGCAAAAAGGAACCAAGGAGGTGGGATGGAAAAAGAAGACACCTTGGCACAAACTCACGAGCAGTGGAGATCTGTTACCAACACATCAATTTTTAGCCTTAACCTTTGAAGCATTAAAAGTAAACAAGTAATAGGAAGCTGCTTCTTCCTTTCTCAGACAAGGGCTATTTGGAATTCACTGTAACCCTGTGCCCAACTCTCAGCTGGTTCAAACTGTTACAGCTCTATGGCCATCACTGTGGCCAAATCCACGTTACAGCTGAGAAACCAGCCCTGGCATTCTGCCACCGCATGTAATTATACAGGGACAAAGAAAAGCTCAGGTTAAGGAGCAGCAGTAGGTTCCAGTCAATTGTGTGGTTTAAACCCATTTTTCTATGTAATTCAGCCAAGAGCTGAGGTCAGCAGAGCTGCAAATTCAGATTTCTATGGTTCTTCTCCTGGGAGCTTTCACTTGGGTTTTGGGACTGTAAAATACAAGATTTTAAAGAATGTATCCAGCTCAATAGAAATACCATAATTTATTCTGTTTGTATAAAAAAAAAGTTATAATCATGTAACAAAACTATGTCTTCATAAGAAGAAATATATTATTTCACATCATAAATAAATCAGCAAACATACAACCCTTGGCAACTCAAAAAAGCACTCGCCTGGTGCCTTCATGTCAGTGCTTGGGAAACAAGAAGAGCTGACAGACATATACACACACAGGATTATAGTACCAAAAAAATACTGAGGTATTTGGTTTCTCTAGAAATGAAACTCTAGGTTTGTGAAGGCAAAAAACCCCAATGCACTAACATAAAAATAAATAAATAGGACTGTCATATAAAAGAGGGACAGCATCAGTGTTGCTCAAAGTGTCCAGGAATGGGAATACTGGTGAGCATGCTACTAAACATGGAGCAGGCTTAGGACAGACAGAAGACAAAAAGGAACAGCTCAAGAAGAGACAGTGTCCTCTGATATCTGTGTAGACATCCAGATACTGGCTTCAGAAGTCAGCAGAACAGTCAGTAACACCTAATTCTCTGGCATCAGGTGAGCTCCTCTCCATTAATGACACTGCTCTGGGATGCATGGATGGTTCCCCACAAAACACGAGTGACTGATGACACTGTCCCTGTAGTTATTGCACTTCTGAGACAGTAAATCTGAGTTCTGGCCATATTTTCACTCGCTTTTCAGCAGCTTGGGGAAGTGGTGATGGGGCTCTGGAGATAGCTTAAAGCACTGGATGAGGTGTGAACAGGGATGGAGACTGGAAAGTTAAAGACTGTGGTGGTCGAGGCTCCTCTGTCCAATACTGACATAGCAGGGCTACCAGCTTCTGCTGAGCAGTTGGGGGCAAGGACCTGCGACTCAAACTGCAGCAGCTGCCCCATGAAGCTGAAGTTTGGGGAGATGATGCTTCTCCTCTGCTTCACAAACTCAAAGGCTTCATCCAGTTTGACTCTGTTGGTCCTCATGAGGTAAGCAAGACAGATGGTTGCTGACCGGGAAACGCCAGCCTGGCAGTGCACAAATACCCTTCCTCCATCATTTTTAACAGAGTCTGAAAGAATGAAAATACACAGTTAGCAAGTACATCCCACTGCCTCCAGAGGTGGGAAAGCACAGGCTCCCGTTTTACATTTCTTTAATCCATCCCTTCCTAAGCCTAACAGGTTCACCCGTGCTTCTGAGACAAAGAGAGCCTTTGTCCTGAGGGAACCAGCAGTCTAGCTATTTTCATTCTGGGCTCCAATTCCAATTATACTAATAGCTCCTCCAGGTCACTTTAGCAGTTCTTGCAAGATTACTTTAATTCTGATCCGCTTAAATTCACTAGCTCTCTGCAGGAAAAATGCCTCTTGATTCAAGATTTCAAACAGCTTTGCAAAGCCAAGATTTCTCCTCTGAGTAGGATAAAATAAATGCAAGTATTCCCCAAGCATATCTCCCTAATAGAATTAAATTCCCCAGTCTCAAATGTAGGTTTTACTGGGGAAAACAATACCCAAAAATCACCTCCTAGGGTATAATACTCCAGGAAAAGAACAGACTGTAAAGAGAGCTCATTTACCTATGAAATCAATCGCCTCGTTAAACCAGGAGCTGATATCTGCCTTGTGGTTGTCCTCCACAGGGATACTTTTATACTGGTAGTGCCCTTCGAAGTGGTTGGGGCAGTTCGCTGATACATTGATTAACGCCGTGATTCCCAAAGCGTCCAGCATGTCTTTCCGGGAGGCATGGTAAGCGCTGCCCAAGTAGAGGAACGGCAGGATTTCCACCGGCCCACCCTAGAACAGAAGGGATAACCGGTTAACACCGCTCGGGAGGCTGCCGACCGCCTTCCCCCTCCTCTCATCGCCCGCCCCGCGTCCCGTCCGCCCCTCCCGCAGCTACCAGCCCGGCCCCGCTCACCTGGTCGTAGAGGGGGGTGCCGCAGGAGCTGCACCCCGAGTCGGCGCTGCCGGGCGCGCTGCTGGCGCTGAGAGGCAGGCTGAGGCCCGTCGGGGCGGCCGGCTTGGTGCAGAGCTCGGAACAGGCGGACGAGAACGCTTCGTAACCTCCTGCAGGGGCAGAGGGGACAGAGAGGCGCCGGGTGAGCGCGGCACGGCCGGAGGGCGAGCGGAGCCCCAGGAACGGCGCTACCGCGGTCCCCCCTCCCCTCCGACGGCTGCCAGGGCGGTCCCGGCGCCACTCACCCTTGAGGAAGCAGATGCGGGCGCCGCGGGCCTCCCTGCAGAGGGTGCCGAGGGCCAGCAGCAGCGTGCTATCGCGCTTGGGCAGCTCCAGGTCGGCGCTGCGCTCGTCCAGCAGCACCACGGTGTGAACCAGCCCCTGGCGCAGGCGGGCTCGGAGCTCCTCGTTGGGGACAACGTGCTCCAAGGCCAGGGCGCCCTTAGCGCGGCGGCGGACGATGGTGCTGAGGCGGACGTTGCAGGAGCCGCGGATGTGCGCGGCGTTGAAGGAGAAGAAGGAGCGGCAGTCGAGGACGAGGCACTGCGCGGCGCGCTCCTGCAGCAGCCCTCGCAGCGCCTCGCACTCCAGCGCGCACACCCGCAGGTTCACCATGGCGGCTCCGGCCGAGGGAAGGAGGGAGGAGGAAGATGAGGAAGGCGCGGCCAGTGTTGGAGTGTCCGGTAACCCCCGGTAGCTCAGAGCAGCGCGACCCGATCCGGCCCCGAGTGCCCGCACCCGCCTTATATAGGGCCGCGCCGCCGGGCCGGCGTTTTCTCAATGGAGCCGCGTCACGTGGGCGCTCCCGAAGACGTCACCTTGGCGGCGCGCCAGCGCGGGCGCGCCCAGCCTCGCCGGCATGACGTCATGTGCCGCGGGGCCGCGCGCCCGCACAGACAGAAGGAGCCTGGGTTCGGGTGGGAGTGCGCGCAGCGTATGTACACACATGTGTATGCACATATGTACACACATACGGACACACGTGTACATGGACAGGCGCGGGGTACTATACACACAAACACATAGAAACATATATACACATGTATAAATGTACACATATGCACACACAAGCTCATACGCACACATATACATATATATATACACAGAGATAAACGTATACAGGTGCTGACACACACTTGCCTATAGACACGGCTATACATACACACACATGTATACATACACACATCAACATACCTGTATTATGCATACACACACTTACATGCGCATGCACATAGACATAGAAACACATATATGTGCACATACAAACACAGACATGTACACCATACACGTATACAAACACCTACAAACACACATGCACACACCCTTCATCCACACACACCCCACTCCCACACAGACATGTGTCCTGCACAGGTGCCATGGAGCTGGGCCACCTCATTGCTGTCCCTTGTCCCCTGCCCCGCAGCTCGAGGCCTCGCTGGGGCTGGGGCAGCCTTTGTCCATGCCCCTCAGCGCTGGCTGCTCCCCCCTTTCCTACAGAAATCAGAGCATTGCCAGGGGAAGGAAGCTGCTGGAGCAGCAGTGCAGGGGGATGTGAAGCCTTGGGTGTGGGCATGCTGCTTCTTCTAACGAAACAAGCATACACATATGTATATTTGATTCATGCATAGACATATGTACATGTACAGACATAGCTACACTTACATATATATGTGTATATTTGTATATATATATATATGATGTAAACACACACTTGAGAGCTGTTCCCATCATGTTTTATGTGTAAGGAAAAAAATGTAGTAGACCTGCAGCCCAGGCAAAGCTCATTTTTCCCACTGAGAACACAACCAGAAGCTGGTGCTGCCAGTAACCGGCAGTGGGGTACTGGGACCTCTTTGTCATTCTCCCCTTTGTCATGCTTCAGCACTTCCCAAAAGTTCCCTTTTCCCTGTGTGTGACTTTCTTCCACCAGCACACTCGGGTGTTTCTCACCCAGGGCTTCCAGTCAGCGCTGCTTCCTCTTCCCCTGCTCCCTGCAATGCCTCTCCAGCCACAGCTGCCCTGAGCACCTCCTCCTGCTTTGGCCCTTTTCCCCCAGCACTTTCCCACCAATTTCTGTTCTGGTCACAGCTCCTTTCAGTACTCTTCTGTTTTAACTTTCCTTCTTCAGCTGCTCTTTTCAGAGGAGATCTCTCCCTGACACATCACAACAAGGCTCTTCTCCCATCATCGATCCCCACCAGCCTCGTGGGCTGCCAACCATCACTCCTCAGATTTTCCATCTTCTCTTCCACCAGTGTCTCCCAGTCCTTAAAAACCTCAGATCTTCTTCTCCTACCAGCCAGGCTCTGCATGTGCCCAACATCTCCTGGGCTTTCCAGGCCTCCATGGGGGACCAGGAGGAGAGGGTACAGGGAAGGGCACAGGCAGGTGGGTGCAGTGCCGCTTCACCTGCTTATCACAGGATTGTCTCTGCTCTGCTGAGCAAGAGGGGAGTTGCCAAAACTGCAGCCTCCAAGAGAATCTGTTTTTTCAACATGTTCCTTAAAAATAAACATGGTATTGCACTTTTCATTCCATTTATTTATTGTTGTTCTTCCAACAGTGTGTTGGAAGCAGATTGTGAGAAACACTCATACTCTTCAGTGCTGGGAAGTGACTCTGCTCCACCACACCGTCACTCCCTCTGCTATTGGGACCCCACGGTCATCCACAGTGGATCACTGGACATGAATCATGGAGTGAACACACATCCCTCTGCACCGCGAGTGCATGGGAAGCGGTCAGGGAGTGCAGGCCATGCCTCAGGCAGCAGTGGACCTGCCTGTCCCCCTGTGGTGTGCTCGGAGCCAGCTCCTCACAAGATGTGGTATCACTGTGACACCGCGCTATGGACAAGCTCTGGTGACCTTGCACGTCGTTTGTCAAACACCAATTCACCCAGAGTTTTCTAAGGAGCTGCATCAGGAAACATCAATGATCGATTTCTTACCCAATTTGCAGCAGATTGAAGGCATCACTTGTAGGAGCACAGGAGGGGCAAGTAACCTGCTCAGCCGCAGCGGAGAAGCCCTGTGGGGTTAGGAGCTTGAATGCCCTTCTCTAACCAGCCCAAAGCCTTGTGTATTCCTGGAGCAGCAGCATGGGTTCGGAGGTTTCACCTGAATGCTTTAATGGAAAGCAGTATTTTTCATGGTGCTGTGCCACTAGTGCCTTGTTAGTGGGAACAGCCAGCCCTGGCTCACAGACATGGGTATCTCGATGCCACTGACAGTCTTGTCCTAAACTCTTCCATGTCCCACACAGAAAACAAAGCTAAAAGACTGTTTTTTTGGCTCTCAGTTTGGCAACTTTGTTTTTTTCCCCCTTTGGAGAAATCACCGTATCTGACACCTGCACAGCCACGTGAGAATGTGCTCTCAATGACAACCAGTCATGATGTTAACCAACATCATATCATATAAGTATTATATAGACACTGTGGGCCAGATACCTTGGCTTCTCTGAGACAGACAAGGAAGACATCCAGCTGAGGCCTTTGCGCAAAGGGAATTTGCCTCCACAGCAATGATAATTGCTCTTCGATGGACTTATGTAATTATGAGACTTTTGAATCTGGTCTTGTTTACACCCAGTGCAAATCAGGAAGAAAAATATTCATCACATGTGGCAGTGTGTATTGAATCACTTATAATCCTGGAGGAGCTATTTCCTTGCTTTATTTTTGTTTTCTTTTCTTAAATAAACCTGCCAGAAGAATGAAAGAAAGGAAAACACAAAACAGGGCTGAAGTGGCTTTTAGGGGCTCACTCTGGCCTGAATGACTTTCTTAAGGGTTAGATTTCCTGCCTTAACAAAAGCCAGGAAATACAAAATTAACCCCTTCCTCCAAAACAATCCGTGTTTGCACTCAGGCCACAATGTCTTTGTAAGGGTAATAATAGAAACAGGAGCATGAAGTGTGGGGGTGGGAGGTGATGCTTTGATTTGGACAGATGGGACCTACTGCTGCCATTCGGCCCACTTTATCCCCTGGGTTTAACAGTGCCCATGTTGCTGTGCCAAAATATGTCCCCGTCCAAAACAACAGGAGAACCCCGTGAGTGTGAGCCCTCACTCATGGCATCAGGGACTTCTTAGGAAAATGACTTCATGGCAGTTTCATCATGTTGCAGCTGAATGTGTTGTCTTTGTCTCAGCAGGACCAGACACCTGGATGGCTTTCTCCAGAGGCCATGGGTCTCCCACTGAAACCTGGTTGATGTTTATCTCAGTGGGTAATAGAGGGCTTCAGACAGCTTCTGCATCAACTGACACCGATGCTAATTTGTTAGCAACTTGGTGGCCAGTGTAGATAACCCCTGGACTGGAGCTGGCCCATTGCATAAACCAGTTACCCAGTAATACCGGTTAGTCAGGCTTTTTAACTAGGCATTCATGGCCAAAATCAGCCCTGAACCGTTCAAGCGAAGCCAGAACTGCAGCACCATTGGACCTGACCTGGGTCTCGCTGCCTGCAGTGCAAGTTTTGTCTGAATAAAAGTATGAAGGATCAAGCCTCAACACTTGAGACACAGAAAAAAAATGCATGTGGGAACACTTGGAAACTGTGCTGGAGGCATTTCTTCAGCATGTGTAACATTTTCTCCGAATTCAGTTTCACAACCCAGCATTTCCTTTTGTAAATATTTGGACAGATTTTAGGAGACACAGATTCACAAGAAACAGAAGGGAAAAGAAGGAAAGATAAATGGGGAGAGAGAGAAAGAGGAAGGAAGGAAGGAAGGAAGGAAGGAAGGGAGGGAGGGAGGAAAAGAAAAAGGAGCAAAGGAGACAAAGAAAAGGATTCAGCAATGGAAGGTTACAATAAGCAGAATGCAAACAATGTAGAATTGCTGATGACTCATACTACAATGAAAACATTATTTTTTATGCATTTAAATACTGAGATTTAACCCTTTTGCCAGGGTTTGGCTAAGATCAGACTGCCTCAGATTCTTGATGAGGTGGGGGAATGGGGAGGCAGACAGGTCAGGCCTGACAGCACAAAACCCAGCTATGAGCTGGGATCTCACTCCTGGAGAAACAGCCTGAAAAATCTGGTATGGCCATGTCCAGTGTGCAACTATTTCTTGTTGGGTGGAAAATACTTGGTGTAGCTGCTCGGGTATTTCAAGTGGGAACACATCCTGGATACAGATGTACATTGAGGAGTATGGAAAGCCCCTTTTTCCCAGCCCTGCCTAAGGAATTCCCAGCTCACTGCTTCCCTGGCCACCCCGGACCACTGGCTTCCTCCTCCTGGGGCTGTGGGCAGAGGTGGGAGCACAGCAGGCACTGGCAGCAGTGCACGCGTGGACCATAATGGTCACTCCCTGTATTCCAGACCACGATCCCATCTCTGCTGTACTTTTAATGCAGTGCCATGAGCTCCTCATCACTTCATGATGCCATGGGCAGCACGCCACGCGCTGCCAGCTCCACAGTGTGACAGCCCCCGGCACCAGCCCCACACTGCCACTGGGGACCTGCCATCAGCTCTGCATCTGCCACTGGGTTACATGACCCGAGGCACCCAGACAGCATACCTGGCACAATATGACCCCATACATGTGTATGTGCCTGTCACACAGCCCGACATATGGCATCTCAAGGCCTGAAACCCAAGACACTTGAGATGTCTGCAGCGTGAACGGTCCCCCGTCATAATTTTGCCAAGTGGCTCCATGTCTGCTTGAGTAGC